CATTTATATGAGCCTGCTCTGCTGGGCTGCACGCTGTAACCCTCATATCTGTAAGAAACAGCAAAGTGGGCTTTTAAGGGCTGGGCCACGCCTAGCTGTGGCAAACTGCTGGACAGTCTTGAACTTTAGATTTCTTTATTTAGTCAAAATACACGTGGTTTCCTCTTATATGAAAACCCAAAGTATAAGTAGAATAAAGAGCAGGGTAGATGGGTGACAGGACACAGGCAGGTGCCTCGTTTGCAGATGACAACTGGGCCAGGAGACACAGTGAGAGGAGAGAGCGGGGGGCAAAGGGTTATGCACACAGGGGCTCCCCAGGAGCAGGACCGTCTTGAGAGGCAGCCGCTCCGCTCTGCGCCAGGCTCTCGCCCTGGGCTAGGCCAAGTGGAGTATTGCAGATTCTTAGCGTGGGCCCTTCAGGTCATCCCATGAGGCTGCGTGGGTTTTATGTGTGTCCCTTCCCTGTGAGGGAGAAGAGCCTGCTTCGTAGGAAGCATCCGCCCTTGAGGCTGTGCAGGAACACGTGGTCCCTGCAGGCAAGAGAAAAGGCCCTTGGTAGGCTGTGACCCCCACGTCCCTCCACAGGTGCAGTGCCTGCTCATGGAGGAGAGGGTGCGAGGCCCGTGGTGGGAGCTCTGGGCAGGGGAGCGGCACGCTGGGAGGGGACGCTCCAGGCCGGCCCTCGGGATTCCTTCGTTCTTGTTTTATTGGCGTGTGCCCACTGCGTCTGCGCTGACGCAGCCCGGGGGCGCGTGCACTCACCGCACATCCTCCTTTCCTCACCTCCTTCTCTTGCCCTCCATCGGTTGCTACCCTGCCCTTCTGAAAATATTAAAAAAAAAAAAAACAAACTATTTCCTGTTCCTTATTGTTGATCTTCTACTTGCTATTTATTCTCGCTTGGAGTTTCTTGTGTAGGAGAAGCCATGTGATGTCTTGGCTACCTGCTGGTCGCAGCGAGCATCGTCTCTTGCAGATGCCTCACGCTTATCGTTCTTGGTGGCACAGTAGTACTCTGTTGTCCGTGAAGACCACATTTTCTTTATCTGTCCATCTATGGCTTTGGGGGGTACTAGGTATTGAACAAAGGGGACCCCACCACCGAGCCACATTCCTGTCCCTTTTTATTTATTTGGACTCAAGGACATGCTAAGTTCCCAGGTTGACTTTAAACTTCCTACTTTCGAGGTGACAGGAATTACAGATACGTGCTGCTGAGCCTGGCTCAGTCTACTTTTCTGGCCAGTGTGACAGTGTTTCAGGGTGACTGGCTGTGGTGGCCTCAGGGCTTCCATGCTGCCCCTGCAGCTGCCCCTCAATTAGCACAGCCCCCAGGGCCAAGACACCTCCTGTCGCTGCTTCTGGCTCTGTGGAGTACAACTGTCCTGTTGTCCAGGGCCATCCTCTGAGGCCTTGGGGAAACCTTTCCCATCCCCACTCTGGGTGTCCGTCTGGCTTCTGTGTTTCCACATGCTCCCCTGAGCCGTCAGCAGTGGAGATGCCAGGTGGCATGGTACCACAGCAAGAGCACTCAAGCCAGGAGTACCCACAGCAGGAGTGCCCAGGCCATGAGTGCCCATGGCAGGAATGCCCACCAGGAGTGCCCACACCAGAAGAGCCTAGGCCATGAGTGCCCACGGTGGGAGTGCCCACACCGAAAGCACCCAGGCCATGAGTGCCCACACCAGAAGTGCCCACACCAGAAGCACTCATGCCAGGAGCACCCACCCCAGAAGCACCAGGCCATGAGTGCCTGCACCAGCAGTGCCAGGCCATGAGTGCCAGGCCATGAGCGCCCACACCAGAAGCACCCAGGCCACGAGTGCCCACGTTAGGAGCACCCACAGCAGGAGCCCCCACTGCCTGCCTTTCTCCTGTATCATCACTGAAGCGTGTGCTGAGGACCAGCCCAGAACTTTATCTCCTCTCTGCTCTTCTGCAGCATCCTACTCCCCCTGCGTGTGCCTGTGTGAGTGTTTGCATGCAGTGCTGTCTGGTCCAGCCAGAGGTTGTGGGGTGGTGCCTCGTGCCCGTGGTTGTGGGCGCTCCCGAACTTCCCATGTGGGGCTCTGCTGACGCTTCTTCCGCTTGCCCTGTCCACAGAGCACTGCTCTGGGGTGAAGCCATCATGACTTCAAGAGTGCAGGGGTGAGACTCTGTCCTTGGCGCACTTCTGCTTTGGGGCAGTTGCTCTAGCTCTGCAGCTCTTTGTTTCTCAGGACATGGGCGCCTTCATGATTTTTCCCCACAAACTATAAATAATAGAGCAACAGCTGCATATTGCATGGGACATATGTGCTCAGTAAGTTGGAGCTGATACTTGCCTTTCTAAATCAACATCCTTGTGGGAGCAGCCTTCGTCATCTGCAGCCCGTGAAAATAGCAGCCTTTCCTGTGTGCACTGCTCAGCACCCCGGTGGCACCACTGCTCAGCACTGGGAGGCCGGCACTGCTGAGTCCGCAGGGTGCCACGTTCCCCACTGGCATTTCTACTCATGCTCATGAGTGTTTATACATGTGTACATGTACATGTATGTGCCATGTGGATTGTGTGAGTATGCATGTGTGTTCACTGTGGATGTGTGTGCACATGTGTATAGATAATGTGGGTCTGTGGGTACACATGTGTTCGGTGTGGATGTGTGTGTATGCATGTACATGCAGTGTGGATGTGTGTACACACATGTGTGCAGTGTGGATGTGTGTGCATGTGTATGCACCGTGGATGTGTGCATATATAGTGTAGGTGTGTGGGAACACACGTATATGTAGTGTGTGTGTGTCTGCATGTGCATACAGTGTGGGTGGGTGGGTGAACACACATATGTGCACTGTGGATGTATGTGCATGTGAATGTAAGTATGCATGTGTGTGCAGTATGGATGTGCATGTTGTATGCATGTGGATGTAGTGTGGTTGTGTGTGACATGTGGAATTATGTGAGTACTCCTGTGCATGCAGTGTGGATGTGTGTGTGCACATGTGTGTGTGCAGTGTGGATGTATGTGCATGTTTGTGCACTTGGATGTGTGTGCATGTGTGTGTAAATAGTGTGGGTGTGTGGGAGCACGTGTGTTCAGTGTGGATGTGTGAGTATGCATGTGTGTGCAGTGTGTGTATATGTGCACATGTGTATGTAGCATGGATGTGTGCACATGTGTGCAGTGTGAATGTGTGTGTATGTGTGCACTGTGGGTGTGTACATGTGTAGTGTGTGCACACGTGTGTGCAGTGTGGATGTGTATGTGCACACGTGTATATAGCATGGATGTGTGTGCACACATGTGCAGTGTGGATGTGTGTGAGTACGCATGTGCATGCAGCGTGGATGTGTGGATGTGCACATGTTTATGTGGTGTGGATGTGTATCTGTGTAGTTGGATGTGTGCACACGTGTGTGCAGTGTGGATGTGTGTGAGTGCATGTGCGTGCAATGTGGATGTGTATGTGCACATGTGTATATAGCATGGATGTGTGTGCACACGTGTGTTCAGTGTGGATGTGTGAGTACGCATGTGCATGCAGTGTGGATGTGCACACGTTTATGTGGTGTGGATGTGTATCTGTGTAGTTGGATGTGTGCACACGTGTGTGCA